CAACACACCTGTCCTAGAGAAGAAGTACCACCAGAATCCTCCTTAAAAGTGAAAATGGCAAGACTTTGTGACACATATTTTGATCCTGTTGTCAAGAGGGACCAGTCTGCAGAAAGACATCATGATTTGTAAAGTCGAGGGTCAGCAAAAAAGAGGAAGATCCTATTTGAGGTGGATTGGCTCAGTTGCTGCAGTAATAGACTGGAACATGATCATTGTGAAGAGGGTGCAGGACCAGGTAGTGTTTTGTTCTGCAACAAGTCAGAGCTGACTTGATGGCACCTAACACCACCCCCAACAGCATTGTGGGGAAGCAGGAATGGGAGCAGGGAGGCCAGTCAGGAGTGTGTTGCAGTGATCTAGGAGGTGTTGCAGTGACCTAGATGGTGACTTGCTTAGGGATGGAGCAGTAGAGACAGAGAAAGTGATGTAATTTGGGCTCTATTTTTGGATGTCTTTGTTTCCACTATAGATAACCACTGCTGCCAAACAAGCTATATCAAGCGCTCGAGTAACAACTCTGGCTAAGAGCAAGTCGGTTCATCAAGATTATTTACCAGCTCGTGAGGCCTGTTGGCCAGTATCTTATGCTGCTACCCATTCCAAAGTGTCTTCCAGAATTCAAGAGCTAGCTAACCCAAGTAAAAGGTATGTCAATTTAAGGCTAAGGTGTGTCAGGAAATACTGGGGATGTTGGCAAGAGGAGGGCCGAAGAATAAGACCCATGAAGAGAATTGCAGAAATTGTATAAATGCAACAAATTCCAAAATATTTTCCTTGTTACATTTATTATGACAAATCTATGATTTTCTTATCACAAATATAAAGCTACAATGAAAAGGTTAGTGGACTCGTTATTGAAACTAGATATAAGGGACTGCACTAAACAAAAGAGGCACAGTGGGAAAATCCTGACTTCACTACTAACTGTGTGATAAGGATCAGCATGAATCCAATCCCAAAAATGTTGGAATGGATCCAGTCTTCACCTTCCTGTCTGTCCTTGTCACCAGCCATTCACATGGTACACACTCTGACCCTAGCTACCCAAAGCGGTGTTAGAGATCATATGTTAGAAGGACATCTTCTTTCAGGCTTCCAAACAGGCAGACACCAGTTTATTCATTCACTGGAGAAATTCACAGGATCTCATAAAGAGTATAGCATACTTATAGCTACAACTTTATTACAAAAAAAAAGGATACAAATGAAGATATGCAGAACTGAGGTCTGGCAGGGGCCACACTATGGTGTTCCCATGTCCCAAAGACCCTTTTTTTGTGCATGGTCTCCAACCAGGAAACTCATCGGAGCCTTAGGGTTCAGGGATTTTAATGATCTCAACATGTGGCCATGATAGATTAGATCATGTCTCCTGAAGTTTAGTCAACAGTGGGCTTCAAGGTAATTCCTCTTGGTCTGATCAGCCCCCACTCATTAGCCTCAGAGCTGAGAATGAAGGCTTTTGCTTTTTGCAAGGTGAATCCATACCTTACTCTAGATAAGCCTCTACAGGCAGGGATTTGACATTATTTCTAACATATATTGTTCAGTGAAGGAGCTCTGGTCGTGTAGTGATTACCGAGTCGGGCTGCTAATCTCAAGGTCAGCAGTTCAAAACTACCAGTTATTCTGTCAAAGAAAGATGAGATTTTATGCACCATTTACAGCTTCGCAGGGTCGCTATGCAGGGTCGCTATGAGTTGGAACTGACTCCACGGCACACCACCACCACCGTCGTAACATGACTAAGTCCTGGTGTGGGTCTATGAGTTAATGTGTTGGACTGCAATTGTCGGTTTGAACTGCAGGATCAGCGGTTCAAGCCCACTAGCCGCTTGTTGGAAACCCTGTGCAACAAAAAACCATTGTTAAGTGAAACAAATTCAAGAACAGAGCACATAATATGATACAGTCCATGTAAGAAAAAATTCATATGCACCATATATATGTTTCCATATGCCTAAAAGATTTCAATGAATAAGAGAGAAACTAGGAACAGTGATTGCCTTTGGTGGTCTAGGAATTGAGATGGGAGAAAGATTCTTTTTCACTAAATAGGCTTGGTATTTTTTCCATGGTTTTCTATCGTGGAACTATATGACCTATTTCAAACAATGAGAAAATTAGCATATACATCTAACAAAGAAGTTGCTTCTAATTCCTGTTCACATTTGCAGGAGACCTCAGTTTGTTTTGCTATATAAGGGCTAACATCTGACCACCCTGCTTAAGTATCATCAAGACAGTTTAGGAGAGGCTGAAATATTTGCAAATATCTTGAGCTCAGTGACAAGAAAAGATGTTAGTTTTTATAGAATAAAAGATTAAAAAATATTTATAATGTGTTTGTCCTTAAGAAAATAAAGTTCATCACCAAATGAAATGAAACTCATTCTCTGTTCAGTGAAGAAGGGAAGGAAAGAAGGATAATATTAAATACTCAAGACTTTTTCCGGGTGGTGATATTATTATGTGGTGGTAAGGTGCTAAGGGCGGGGAACTTAAAAACTTGAATTCTTCAGGTTCCCAGAGGACTATTTGTCTTGTTTTAACATTGCCAGATTATTGAGAAATTTCCAGAATTCACTTAACGGTTGAAAGAGTACAGACTTTGGATCTGACAGATGGCAAATCTGGATTTGGCCATAAACCATTCTTATAACCTATCTGTCTAGTGAGGGTCCTTATATCTATTTGGTAAGGTACTTATGATGATTAAAGTGGGATAATATCATCGTGCCTAACACATGGGTCACCATGACAAATAACATAGTGGGTGCTTGAGAAATATTAGTTCCCTTTTCTGTTGATCTTACTTCAGGCATAATTCCTTGTCTTCCCATTCCAGGGCTTCAGGACCAATTGTGTATTATGATCCAGATGTCTTCAAAGTGAAACCAGCAGCTCTGAAGGCACAATGTTCTGCAAGGATCCGGGAGTTGGCAGAACCTAAGCATTAAATGCAGAAAGTCACACCACATCATTCACCCTAGTTATGCATCTAGACATAGTAGATGACTTAGTTTCTTTCTCTGGCATTGTCATTTTTACTGTCCCCTACTCCCTCCCCATCAAATCAAACAAACATGAGACTCAGGAAATACTACTGTAACCACCATAAAGCAGAGGGTGCGGTCACCTTAGCATGTCCTTAGCAGATTTTGGAAGTCCATAAAATAATAAAGAGAAGATGATAGCCTGCCTTATTGTCTCCTTACCAGTTTCTTGGCTGCCTCATTGCTGGGGTTAACTTGAAGAAAGACACTTTCTCATAATTGTGGGGTTTGCTTTTCATTTCCTTATGAGGTCTGTGTTCCTCAATCCTTTCTGCAGTAACCAAGAACCAAATCCATGGTTGTTGAGTTGATTCTGAGCCATAGCAATTCTACAGGACAGGGCAGAACCCCATAAGGACTTTCAAGGCTGCAGCTTTTGTTTTGTTTTTTAAGTTTTTATTGTGAATTATGTGGGGTTTACATGGGAGAACACCAGCTTTACATTCATCCTATTGTATTTCATTTCATTGTAATAATTACAATCCCCTCCATACATTATCAAACAACTAAAGAGTACACCCCACAGGCCTGCCCCCCAGCTGTCAGCACACAGCCCCTCTCCCTCTCTGGGTCCAGAGTCCCCAGCCGCTCCATCTCTCCACATCATAGTCTCTGCCTCCATCTCTGGCATCACTGCTTCTCTGGGTAGGGTCCCATACGCCGCTCTTCTCTCTTGATGGTCCCAGAGACCTCCGCTCCTGGACTGCAAAATCAACCACTCCCCTCCTTTTGTTCCCAGGCTGCAGTCTTTACAGAAGTAGACTGTCATATCTTTCTCCCTCTGAGTGGATGGCTGGTAGGCCCGAGCCAGTCGACCTTTTGGTTAGCAACTGCTTAACCACTGTACTACCAAGGTTCCTAATCTTTTTTTCAGTAAATCCTAGGAATTACAGTCACTCTTTCTGTTACTTTGTCAGCCACCCTCAATTATCTAGAAATAACACAATTTTGAATAAATTGAAATGCTTTTTATAATCTGTGGGTAAGATTAAGGGAACACGTTACCTTAGATGATCACATCTCAACCCCTTCAGTGTTTATCATAAATAACTGAAAGAACAAGATGTTTGGTAAGTATTACGATTCTCTTTCAAATTGCATCTGCTCAAAGTTATAATTTTTTTTTACTGATTTACTTATTCTCTCCATGGATCAGACTTTTACAGATTATACTAACTGTGATGGATAAATTTGTGTATCAGCTTGGCTAGGGTACAGTACTCAGTGGTTTCCCCAAACATAGGCTAGTTGTTACACAATGTAATTTAATCACGTTCTATAATGTGATTGTTGTTGTTGTTAGTATGAGTTTCTGAGGAGCAGCTGGTTGGTTTGAACCTCTGACCTTGTGGTTCAAAGCCTAGTGCTTATCCTGCAGTGCCACACCAGGAGTCCATAATGCAATCAATCTAAATAGGATAAGAACTGGACTAGGAACCACAAGATCAGTGGTCGAATCCACCATCTACTCTGCAGGAGAACATGAGGCTTTCTGCTCCCTCAAAGATTTTAAAAGCCTCAGAATTGCTATACAAGGTAGTTATCAGTCAGAACCCACTGAACGGCACTTAACCAACAGCCAGTTGAAAGGGGAGTTCCTTAGCATGTGGCGTGTTTTCAGACTGTAAATGGAAATTTCAGCCATCAATGATGTCACCTGGCTGATCCATCTTGTTGGGGGTCTTCCTCTTTTTCTCTGACCCTCCATCTTACCCAGCCTGACATCCTTCTCCAGCGACTGTTC